CAGGCTTGTTCCTTAAAAAGCCAAAATTAAGCTACTTTCAAGCCGGCTTCACAACTATATGACCAGATTACCCCTACAGTCACCATGGTGGGGACCGGTCTCACTGTGGTTAACCGATGGGTAATATCGTAATTTCAAAACAGCCAATTTCCATTGCCGATCAAAAACCAAGCAAGCAACGAACACGCGCGGTTCGTCTCGATCCCGTCCTCTCATGGCTGTTTCAGGGACATCGTCCTTTGATTTTCGATTTCGATTTCAAGCTCTTCACGTACGATCCAATCTCACAAGTCCCTGATTCCGGGAGGGAGAGTTATTTCCAAACTGTGGGAAATTATAGTTTTCTCTTATTCCCCGCGATTTTTGATTCGAGCGAGGTACGAGGTTTTCGTTTCTCATCTTCTCTATTTCAAGTTTGATCTGGGTTCTAGGGTTCTGTCTCTGTGGGTTTTTCCTATTGTTTATTGAAGATGCTTCACTTCGTCTCATGAATTTTGATTTAGTTCTCTTCTAGGGTTTTCTTGTGTTGGAGTTTCTATGGATTAATTTAAGCTTTAAATTGTGGTTATTTCTAGTTTATTTGGGTGTTTGTTGGAAATGAAGTTCGATTATGGTGAAAATACTCGAATTTTCAGGAGAAGAGTTTAAAGTTCTTAATTTTTTTGTACTTTTGCTTGGAATAATAATCTGTCTGAAGTTGAGTTATTTCATTTCTGGCAATGCGGATAAAGCTCTGATGAAGGCAATTAAGGAATTATCTTTCTTTCTTTTCAAATCGATTATGGGGTTGATGGATAGGTGTTTTCACTGGATTTTGCTGATTTGACTGTCTAATTTGGTCCCGCGCTTGACGAATTAAGATTAAGAAGAAGTGAAATTGGAAGATTTTTTCGACACATTTCTCCTGGATCTTAGTAAGAGAAAGGAAGGATAGTTCCTGTGGAACTAGGTTAGATTTATTTGTATACCATCTCCATTCTTGTGTAGTTCACTTTCCACTTTACTAGAGATTTTCACATTTTTTGTATATTAGCTAAATTGGTAGATTCATTTTTTTCCCTTAATGGTTTTAAGCACTTCAGTTGGGTGGTAGGTTAGTTGCTTAATTTTAAAAGGAAAAGAATATGTGATGTTGCAGCTCTGAGCATGATTCCAGCAGTATCTGGCTTTATTAAGCAAATATAGGAGACGATTATGTTAACAGCGCATAGTACCACGGAACCACATATATGAATTCTCGTGTTTCTATATATGTATAGATTTATGTTTTTTTTTTGGCCTCTTAAAGAGTTGGTCTGTGCAAATGAAATGGTTTATTATCTTACTTGTTTTCATGTGAATTTCTAACCTACAATTATTTTTTGGTTTGTTTGCCTGGCAATGCCACTCTCGTGGTAAATTGTTCTGAGGGATTGTCAATAAAGTTTTGATTTCACTTGTCACTTTGCAGGTGCACCTTCACTAAATAATTTAAGCGGAGAATTTAGCATTTATGTTCTGCAAATCTACAAGCTTGTCATGTGCCACTGTGTGTATAGTGTCTATAAATAAAACTGTGGACTTGCGGAAGCTAAGGGAATGTCAGCACCTGGGAAGTTTGATTATTCGTCTGGCGGGCCAGATAGGACTTTATACAGGTCCAACTTAGTTGCACAGATGGAAAGATCTAGTAGCTTTCGTGAGACGATGGACCATTCTGTCTCAACTTCTCATCCGAGCATGTTGAGAAGCACTTCACCAATCGCACAAACGGATGTAACAAATTTCTTTCAGTGTTTGCGTTTTGATCCTAAGGTAGTTGCCGCAGATCATAAGTCTATTCGTCAAGGTGACTTTAAGCGTCATGTGAATATTGCTCTTGGGATTCAAGGAGATGAATCTCCAAGCACAACGCTGAAAGGGAAGCTAATTCCATCTCCTATACCTGAGGAGATCAAAAGGCTAAAGGCTGGTCTGCGCGAAAATAATGTGAAGGCCAGGTAGTTTATTACGATAAGTTAATAAATCTTCTTCAGAGTTCTGTTTGCCTAACTGAAATTTATTGTTGCAGGGAGCGTGTGAAGATTTTCAACGAAGCCTCCTCTGTATTTAACAAGTTTTTTCCCACTGTACCTACAAAGAAAAGGTCTCGACCAGAAGGGTTTTCTAATGACCGTTCTGGTGATCGCTCCGCTTTAGGGCCAGGTGTAGGTAAAATGGGAATTCAAGGTCAGAGTCTGCCTGGTTGTTTTGAGTTTGACGAGCAGAAGTTGGACGAACGACCTAAAAGTGGTGCATTAAATAAGCGGACACGTACTTCCATGGTAATTCCTGTTTTTTGTTTCAGAAGACATGCTTTAGTGTATTATCCTTATGGAGCAGTTTTCACCAAATATATCGTACGTCTACTGAACAGAGTTTTTGTGTAATGATGTAGTCTTCTATAAGTGCATATTTTAAACCACTTTTTGGTGCAAATGTTTTACTGTTATCTTAGAAAAAGCTAGAAATTGTTGTAGGGGATATTTATATAGAAACTTCTTCGTTTAAGGTAATTGTGCTTCCAAGATTTGATGTATGTGATTGCTTGCAAAATTAAATGTTACACTCAAGCCAGGGTATAGTACACAGCACTAGTCCTGTTAGATCTACATAGTTTCTCAACAGATTTGTTCTTTTCTTTTATGCTTATTTTGTTCTGACATTAAACCATCTTTTGATACTACAGGATG